AACAACCTCACTACACCTGAGCACAGACTAACCACCCCATCTTATTTAACACCTAACCTAACCTACAACCCTAGCAGCAACTTAACTTAACCTAATCTAACAACCTAACCTAACCTAACCTAGCCTAACCTAACCTAACCACCCCATCTTATTTAACTACCTCACAACCTAAACGCTTAGCCTAATCTAACTCAACTAACCTAAACAACCTAACTTAACCTCACCTAAGCTAGGTTAGATAAAGGTTATTTTATGTTATGTTAGTTGAGCGGATTTAGGTTAACGTTAACGCAGGGGTGTTAATGCCAGAATAACCGGGTGGATAATGTTCATGTGATCTGTACTGCTTAGATAAGATTTCATTCAGGTATGATGCAGGTTTTTCATGTACAATAAATCCAGAGATATTTACTGTATTAAATCATTCACGAAGCCGATTTAATATTATGTGTGTGTGTGTGTGTGTGTGTGTGTGTGTGTGTGTGTGTGTGTGTGTGTGTGTGTGTGTGTGTGTGTGTGTGTGTGTGTGTGTGTGTGTGTCGCGTGTTCCTGGAGTTAGTAAGGTGAGCTTCGTCGTTCCTTGTGACCCTTAGGCCTACCAGCTGATGGCCATGCAAAACCTGAAATTTACTTTTAATGTTCTTTGTTATTGATCCTCGGTGTGTGTGTGTGTGTGTGTGTGTGTGTGTGTGTGTGTGTGTGTGTGTGTGTGTGTGTGTGTGTGTGTGTGTGTGCTAGTGCGTTTGAGTGTGTGTGTGTGTGTGTTTGTGTGTTAGTGCTTGTGTGTATGTTAGTGTGTATGTGTGTGTGTGTTGGTGTGTGTGTGTGTGTGTGTGTGTGTGTGTGTGTGTGTGTGTGTTGTGTGTGTGTGTGTGTGTGTGTGTGTGTGTGTGTTGGTGTGTGTGTGTGTGTGTTTTGTGTGTGTGTGTGTGTGTTGGTGTGTGTGTGTGTGTGTGTTTTTGTGTGTGTGTGTTTTGTGTGTGTGTGTGAATCATTAAACTCTCATCAGTGTACAGACACACACTATCCTGAACAAGTGAAATAGAGTTTTAATATAAAATACACAATTTGTCATTAATAATGAAAGCGCTCACCTACCTTTCTACCAACCCACCACCAACCCACCTGCTTACCCACAACCCACCTGCTTACCCAACCCACCTCCCCCTCCAACAAGCACACACAGGTACCTACCATCAGATAAGATTAGCGACTCACCTGAGGATTCCCGACTAATGCAGCTAGATACGGTTTTTGACCTCTTATGACCTTCTATGGTGAACCTGTTGTAACGAATTCTGCTCCTATATGACTAACAGTGCTCCTGTGTGATGAAAACTCTCTCTCTCTCTCTCTCTCTCTCTCTCTTCTCTCTCTCTCTCTCTCTCTCTCTCTCTCTCTCTCTCTCTCTCTCTCTCTCTCTCTCTCTCTCTCTCTCTCTCTCTCTCTCTCTCTCTCTCTCTCTCACGGTCATGCCAGTAAACCTTGGCCTGGCGTGGCGAATATAGAAGACGGAAGAGAATGAGAAGAAGTG